GCACATATTCAATCAAAACTACGACATAAACGATTGTGATCTAATCATATTTCGTTGAAATAATTTTCTGAAAATTGTTCTTTGGCATAAATAACATTTGCCGTGTCTTTCTTCTTATTTACTCTCGATGTGCTAGAGCGCTCTGTCACATAAGCACATAAGTTTTGGAAAAGTTTCCTTTTGAAGTCCTATTATGATGTATTGAAGAACAGTAAATCATGCAGTTATATTTACTTTATTTCATCTGTGAAACGATTCAGTCGGTTTGAACATTCTCTCACAGACTTTTAAGATGCAACTTTGATGGAAATGATTCAGCAATAGATTGAAATACAAAAATGTTTATTTTCCCGAGTGATTCATTTTTCTCAGATGATCATAAGAAATACTAATCTTTCTCAATAAAAAAATAGATATAGAAAGAGAAAAGTACCAATGAGTGAGAATCCACGAACAGAAAATTAATGAAAAACTATCGTTGACAAAAATATATTTCTATGTGTCTACATTCCATCTCATTGTGCCATTTTTCCTACAAAGAAATATTGAGTGATCTCGAGGTTATCGAAGTAAATGCAGGGATAATAATGCTGTGTTGAGCACCAGTAGAACAAAACATTGATCAACAAGCGAATCAGAAACTACAATGAAAACTAAACTTTGGGCTGTAAAGCAACATTGATATGATCAAGAGACACATCTGCACTATTTTTGGAACCCTTGTGAAGAGCGAAACTGAAGTCATTACCATTATCAAAATACTAATAACGTATGATTATCAGCTCTTATGCGTCCAAAAGGACATTGATGGTCAAAATTTCTTATTAAAATGTCTAAGAAACATGTGAGTTTTGCTTTGCAAGAACTGTAGAAAAAGCAGACCCGTTTCTTTCTCGACACTAAATTCAATCAGAGCCACCTAATACGACATATTTCTAGATATATTGATATTGTACTAAACAAATGACAAGTTTTGACATGCATGATTTATATGCTACAGAGAATAATCAATGGAGAGACTTCTCCAACTTATCAGATACATATGTATATATTATAAAGGAGTTCTGTATCAATTTCGTTTCACCAAAGTCGTGTTTATTTAGTAGCATATGGGTACCGCAAATTCATTAGGTGAATACCCTTGATAGCTATGTTATAAATATCGATATCCGAGTTATGGGTATTATAATATCCATCTTTTCATCACAAACTGTGGCCACGATAACTATTTTTATTATGTTCTCTCATAAAAGAATCACTATTGCAATATTGTAAGTACTGCAAGCATCTATCGATTTCTTTTTTTCTTTCGAGAAGCTCACCAGTTAGTGTAAGTATTCTATTAATCCCTTTTTTCAATTCGATACAATGCACAGTTGCAATAACATCTGATAGAAGTTACGACTTATTGCTCATGCATACGTTTTTGTAAATTCAAAAAAAAAAGGTATGACTGTTAGATATTTTTCAATTTCTATCTGTTATGTGACTTCCATAGTAAGAGATATAATTGTTATCAGTCAAACTCATTTTTTCAATGACCTTATCACTACTCTATCAAAAGTGAGCCTATAAAATTTTTTTCTTTACAAAGCGTCTATTTTATTGAATTCTATTCATTTGGTTGTTGAAAACAGCTACTATTCAAATCTTTGCAGTTCAAGTTAGTGGCATGGGTATTCATTTTCTATGCCAGTCCATATCTGGTTGGAAATCACATTTTTCGACATTTAACCTATTTCAAACTGGTACAAGTAATGAAGTAGATGAACATGAACAACGCTCGAATATCATTGCGACGAAAGTCTATATTATTACTGTTTTGATTTGTTTATTTGATATGGGTCTTGTCTTATGGTTGAATTACAAGACCGCAAGCATTATTTATTCAAAATCCAACTAAAGCTTAATTCGAAACTTTGCCCCTCTTATCGTTAACTGTTCATGTGCTCCTATATTCCTATTTTATGCTGAATTTGTTTTATTGTCTGCGAAATTTCATCAAGTTTATTCGAGTAATTTTGTTTTTGATCGATGGATTCAAACTATCGTTCACTACCCACACCCACAATGTTTTTTCGGCTAAACCACCATTCTAAATGTATCATCTCTCTCTATGCAGACACATCATATAGGAAAGCGTAGCAGTCAGATGATCATAGAAAAGAGCAAACACAAAAGAAATAAAGTAGGTCAGCTAGGAGCATCGTTCAGAGACAATGAAGCACAGCAGTTATAGCCGTTACATCAAAGATGATCCATATCATAAAGATATATTCGCTACTGGGTGGAAAAGTCATCTTACAAGTGGCAAATCAAATTTGTTTAGATTTTTAGGTTTCAAATAACTTTAAAACTATTCATTGAAAATCGCACAAACAAAAATTCAAGACATCCTAAGTTCTAAGAGCATTTTCAAAAACCAATGAAGTCTAATAAAACATTTCTTTACATTTATCCTAGTCTGTATCGTTGTGAACAGAAAGATTCACACCTTTATATCAAATGTTCAAGTTCAAATGATTACCAAGCTTCGAAAATTTATATCATAAAGCAATGGAAAAGAATAGGTTTAGCGCAAAATCAATGTCTCTTAACAATCACTAAATAGCTCATATCTTGAGACGAAACAAGTGCAGCATCAAATGTAATGGAATAAATGTCTAATTAAAAACACAGTTTCTGCTGTCATTAGTTCTAGACTTTGAACTCTGTTATCGTCCGAGTTCTGATAATTGATTGAAATGTCAGGAAGCAAGAAACATGTTAGTTACCATCAATGATGAGATTGTTTACTTATCTATGATTATCTAACGTTATAGAGTCATCACTAGGCCAATTTCGCTTTTTTTCTATGTCAATCAAAGTATTCGAAGCTATCTAATTCAATTTCATTGTTTAAACGAATCTACAAGTTTACAGTTAAGCCGATTCTGAGAAACTCCACTCGAGATATACTGAGCATGTTATTTCAAAATATCTGGTGTGGGTGTGGGTGTGGGTGTGGGTGTGGGGTGGGGTGTGGGTGTGAGTGGGGTGTGTGGGTGTGGGTGTGGGTGCGGTTTATATCTTTCTCTTTCTCACCCACACCCCACACCCCACACCCACACCCACACTCATCTCCTTCCAGTTCAATGTAGCAAACAGTGAATATCAATGAAAAAATCAATCTTTTTCTTTTTGATGACGCAGAAATAAAGTTTAAACTATCAGCTGGATCAGTGGCTGGGAAGGACAACAGGATAACGCTCGAATAACTTTAACTTTTCTCACTGAACATAATTGGCAAATAGGCAATACTTACATATTAGGATCAGTAACAGCCAATGATCGAATGAGGCAAACATTACTGATCTATGAATGTGTGAATGGCAATGTACCTAACGAAGCATATTATGCGACTATTAATGCCACATTTAACCGTGCTAGTGGTTATTTCAATGATGGTTGCATTGATAACATTGTTTTTCTATTATATCAGTGACTGATATACAAAATAGGGTCAAAAATTCTTGAATTTGTTTTGAATTGATACTTGATTCGTATAGATATTCATGTTGTAACATTTGCTAACCTGTACACAACATTGAATATATGTCGCAACTAAAAAACAATCCAATTCGTGGTACCGATCTCTAGTATGCTTATCTCTCATGACAACGTGAAAAATTCAAACGCCTTCACAGACCTCTCTTATATTTATTTAATATTCGATAAGAATAGTGCTTGCATATTCAGAATCCTTGAAGTATAATATGTCTGACAAGATATGTAAAAGTTTCCATTGGAATAGGTATCGATAAAAAACTAGTGACTTATAATAGAAAATTTCACTCTATCATTCTTAGCAATGAGCACTTTACGATATCATTAGTTTCTATGTTATTTTCTTCGTAGAAATATCTCAGAATTTCGCAAGTTTGAGGATTGTTTTCTTGACCATCGCCTCGAATTCGTGTTGTGAATGAGTGAAACTCAGCCTTTTCTTCATCGACAACCACGCCTTCATATTTCGCTCAATCTAAAATATATTGTGCAAATATGAACTTTATGGATTTTCATGCAAGCCGTTTGGAGGAATATAAAACTTCTTTTCTTACGGAATTTTTCTTAAGAGAAAGAATAAGAATCAATTCACATCTCTCAATACAAAGCTTGAGACTATATATAGTTCTTTGTGTTTCTATCGCTAGTGACACTACAATTAATGAAATGATTTGTAATTAAAACTTTTTTAATCAATAATAATGTATTTCCATTGTACTATACAATGAAAATAATGATAATCATATTGATGAAATAACAAACTGGTACATTGGCATTGATGTATGTTCAAACTGAATTCGTTAATACATATTTCATTCAATACCAATGTGTAGATTGATCTTCTATGTAGTAAATGAAGTAGATGAGAACCAAACCAATGAAAACAGTAATTTAAATGATACGAAATCATTTATATTTACTATAAGCGTATATTATCCAAGTAAAATGAAAATCGTATCTTTGTTTGAAATACTATTGTATGAATGAAATAATCAAATAGAAAGAAATGTATACTTTCAACATTATAATAATTCGAACAAAATATATTCTATCTTTATGTAAACGAGTATTTGAGGATTTATCTTAGAAACATGATAAGAAATAAATATGAATACATCATCTACTAGAATGACAAAGCAAAGAACAATAAAAAAAAGCTGATTCGTTTAGATGTACTTCATCATGCATCGTACGATGACACAAGACAAGACAAGAACGAGAAGGATAGTAAAATATACATCATTTAAATGTGACTATTTTCTTTAGGTTATTGTAGAAATATTGAAAACAAGAATTTACTTTTCAACTATTAACAAATCATCATTATTTAATAGTTAAATTATGAGTGAAGCGTCGAATATTGAAGTGAACACATTTGTAAATATGATTTTGTCTGCCGAAAAATCAATTGATGAAATGATTGATCGACATTTTTTTATCTTTAGAATACACAAATGGTCGTTGCCAATCGATTTCATGGTAAAATAGCTATTGTCACCGGCGCTGGATCAGGTATAGGACGAGCTGTTGTTTTACGTCTTGTCGATGAGGGTGCTTACGTTCTTGGTATTGATCTTAATGAAGCTGGATTAAAAGAAACTGTACAATCATCACGTCATCCAGAACGTATTTCAATAGCTGTTATGTCTATTACAGATGAAGAAAAAATCATCGAAAAAGTTAATGAATATATTACTCGTCAGGGGCGTCTTGATGTTCTTGTTAATGTAGCTGGTATCTTACTTACAGGTTCAATAGTAGATACTTCAATAGAGGAATTTCGTTCAGTTCTTGATACAAATGTAATTGGTACATTTTTAATGTGTCGTACTTGTCTTCCTCATTTAGTGACTACAAAAGGTAATATTATAAATACAGCTTCAACAGCCGCTTTACATGGCCATCCCTTTATGTCAGTATATGCAGCAAGTAAAGGAGCTATTGTTGCATTTACAAAATCTCTTGCACGAGAATATCTTCTTCAAGATGTACGTGTTAATGTGGTAGCACCAGGTGGTATTGATACTCCAATGAATAAGAATTTTCGACTACCATTAGATATAAATAATCATTTATTTGATAATTTAAAAATGCCCAATGGAAGATTTGGTAAAACAGAAGATGTAGCTGGCGTTATAGCTATGCTCGCATCTCAAGATGGATGTTTTATTAATGGTGATATTATTCGAATTGACGGTGGTGTTCATAGTTAAGGTTCTTTTATATTTATGCTTAAGAGATTAAAATTAATGAGTAAAGTTTTATTATAAAATATAATCTAGCAATTTATCATAAACCATCTATTTATTCTATTTATAAAATAAAACTTTGTTAAAACTAAATAAAAATGCTGAAACTATCATATTATTAAGCATTGTCCGTTTTAAGTTGATGAGCCATCGGTTTTCCACTAAAAAAATTGAGTAAATTATCCACACATATTTGTGCCATTTGATGACGTGCATATACATCAGCACTACCAATATGTGGAAATATCGTACAGTTATCAAGTGTTAAAAGACAATGATCTGTAGGCAATGGTTCAGGTACAGTAACATCCAAACCTATAGATAATTATAAATGTTCTACTAAAGGGTGATCCTCTTAGTAAATCGATGATATCTATGACAAACCTAAATATGTAATTTTGTAGAGGAAGATTCGAGCTATCATTTGAAGAATAGACATTTCAAAATGCATAAACATAGCGCAACATTATGATCATTTTACAGTTTTTGAGAACAACTTTTGTAATAGTTGTATTTTTTTTGCAACTCACAAAGATTTCTTTTAACAGATTTATCATGCTAATGAAATAATATTAATTATATTTGTTGAATATGATTGCAGTTCTATAACACTTTATGTAGTTAAACCTGTCATATTGATAATAGAGAGCTGCGGACCTACATTTTTGTGAATGCAGATCTGAGTTGTTTCCATCAATATCTGCCACCCTCTATGTACATGAATAAGTAAAAGATCTAAGTTTTAGCTATCTATTGGTTACTTCCAGAAAAAAAAGGTCATGATACAGTTATTTCTTGTTGATCACTTTTCTATCATTCGATGCTTGATATATCAAAAGATTTCGCTCAATTGATAAGAACATTAAGTTAACAGAAAAATGAAACGGAGCAGTCAACTGATAAAGAAAATTCATCATTGAAAATGGTCAAATCAAGAGTAGGACAAAAGTCTTCAAGTTTATAGAACAGTTGAAGTACTTAGCTATTGACAATTCAAAATAATTAGTAATATCGGTTTTAAAACTTTGAGCAAAAAAAGTTTTTAATGCTGTTGAATACTTAATTATAGATAGAGAGCTGCGGGTTCATGTTTTTGTTAACTAGACTTCCACTCACCTCTGAAAGGTTCATAGCTCTCTAATTGATGGTCTTATTTTATGAAGTTTACTATTTTCAGTTCACTCTCAAATATGTTAGTTGCTTGAATTTCTCTTGTCGATAGCTTTATTAAAATTTCCCTAGTACTCATTTCAAAATCAAATAAATGATACATCAGCAATAGAAGATTTATGAGATATCATTTGACACGATTCAAGTAAATATGAAGATCTCAAATAAAAAAAGTATTAATATATAAGAAAATTTTAGTTTGCCAAAGGATTACCAATATATTAAAAAGGAAAATCGTCCGAAAACAAGGTCAACACATCACTATTTTTTTGATATTTATACAAAATGACAATCGGATGAACTTATAAATCATTTTGAGTATTTTGAAAAATTCATTTTTACTTCTTTCAAAAAGTTTACATTGAAAATATTGACTCAACATTAGTAAAATCACTATAACATTGTACTACTTTTGTGCCATAGATGTCCATTACTGCTGGAAACCTATGACTTCTGTTGGTACTGTCACAGTGGTAGCAGCATCCCCCATGGATAGCGCTGGATTATACATTTGGAACTATCTTTTGTTTAGGTACTAGATCTAAACTTGCTTTACAAAATTGCATACTTCGATCATTTAATCATATATAGGTTTGTCATAGATATCATCAATTTACTGATAGGGATCGAAACTTTTTGACTATTTTTTACTAAAAAAAAAAGATTGTTTACCTGCTGCTCCAATTTGACCATTTTTTAATGCATCATAAAGTGCATCTTGATCAATAATACCTCCTCGTGCAATATTAATTAAAATTGCATCATTTTTCATTTGTTCAAATGCTTTTTTATTAAACATATTTGCTGTTTTTTCATTTAATGCACATGCAATAATAATGAAATCCGATTCACGTAATAATTCTTCAAATGGAACAAATTTAAATAATTTTTTATCATTATCAGAATCAAAATACTTTTCACGTGTACCACTATAAAGTACACGTTTAATAGAAAATGATTGTAAACGACGTGCAATAGCTAAACCAATACGACCTAAACCAACAATACCAATTGTTGAATTAATTAAAGGTTTACCACACATCCACATTATATCGGATGATGTACCCCATTCACCATTCTATTTGAAAGTCATAAATGAATAGAAAACAAATGTTAATCTTTCTCATTATGATGTCTTACACGAACTGCTCGCATTGCTTCAGTAATTCGTCTTGATGTTGCTAATAATAATGTAATAGCTAAATCAGCGGTTGTATCTGTTAATACACCTAGAGATTTCGAAATGTTATTTACTAATCTATTCTGAATGATCACTATTCTATTCTACCTGGTGTATATCCAATAGGTATGCCTCTTTTTTTACATTCTTTTATATCAATATGATCATATCCAACTGAAAATGTGGCTAACATTTTGAGTTTATTACCGGCTAGAGATAATACTTCTTTATCAATTCTTGTTTTTCCTGGAAAAAGCATTGCATCAGGTGGATGGGTACGAATACGAGATAAAATTTGTTCTTGAGATAAAGGTGTTGGGATGTCTTGATAATCAAGATCAAATACACGTTCAAGTGAACGAATGAACTGTGAAGGCATTTGATGAGTTATTAATAGACGTGGTCGAAAAATAGATGCCATTTTCTAAATATAAACAATTGTTTCTATTTCATGTATATTTTCTATGTATAAAATTGTGTTTTCGTATTTATGAACAAGAAAAAGACAAGTGTAAGAATAAGAAAACAAATTGTCAAAACAATAAGAGTTAATATTAGACACTTGTCATTGGTTTGGATTGTTCAATGCGCTTGAATTTTTCTTCCTAAATAATAAAAATTTACAAATCGAATAATAGCAAAAATTTTATGCATACATTCAATATATTTGAATTGACTGTTTGAGATATATCACCAAAACGTTCAGCTCTTGCTATTAGTCTAAAATATAGAATATTTAGAAATGTTAATTCAATGAATGCAAATTTCGTTGTTCGACGTCTCAAAACTCTGAAGAAAGGATGAAATTGCAATTGAGACCGAAGAACATCACAGGAGGCAAGACCTCAAGGATAATATTTGAGTACTGCAGAACACTCAACCAATCTAATGGATTGTGATCCAATAAGGTTCTGAAATAGGAGTGAAAATCGTTATGATTCTCAATTAGTATTAATAGTAGTCAGAAGAAGGTATATCATATTATCGACTATTTCTTTGGCAAAAGATTTACTAAAACCACAAGAAAATCTCTTCAAATGTCAAATAATGTTCTACAGAATGTAGAACAAAACGGAGAAAACTGTTTTGTGACACTCTCTGATTGTGAAGGTTTTTAGATTGGTCAATTCAAGACGTTTCTTTCTGAGTTACAATCTACAGGACATATTATAAAAGTCATTTAGTGTAACTAGATTGTTGGTATCAAGTCAAACGAACTTCTCAATTTAGAATTGTTAGTTTTACCTTCGAACAATTAGCTGTTAATGAATGATAAAGCTCTACTGTGTCGACACGATTTATAGTCAACAAAAGCGTTCTGTTTATAAAACTCAATATCATTCCAATGATATTTTACTGTAAATGGTGTAAAAACATCAAAACAATCAATACATTTTTTCTTTGTTTCTTCATCTGTTATCGATATTGAATTAACTAAATGCAAACGATCATCTCGTAGACGTCTTTTCTTGTTCATCTTCCTATATGAAAATAACAATAAATTATTTCAATAAATAAAATCTTCAAATGCATACTGCTGAATGAGGAATAGCTTCAAATCTTTCTAAATGTTGTTTTTAGTTGTACGATCCATTATTTCTTTGAGAATAGAAGAAAACAAAATAAAACGAATAATCTTTTATTTTTTCGTTAATATATATGTAATGTACCAAAGTTTAATGCACGAAAAATTTTTTTGCTTCAGGTTCTATTTTTTCCAAAATGTTCAAGATGTTGGTTAAATTTCTATTTATAAAATCTAGAATACTTCTTCATTTTAATTATCAGCACTTATCACACCATTACTCAATTCTCAATTTTTTTTTACTTAGGTTAATGTTAACAGCAAGTTCGTTTGTTTTTCCAACAGATAATTTTGCTTCAGTAGTTTTATTTGTTGCTATTTTGATAATAAATATTCAAGAAAATACATAAGAAGCTTGATAAAAGATAATGTAAACCAATATAGGCTTTATTTACGCCAATAAGAAGATCATCTAACGAGAAATGATTTGTTTATTGTTAACCAATTGAAATTCAACATGTCTGGAAACATCTCCACTTTGATCCTAATGCTGTAAATTTTTTTCTTATATAGATAAAAAATTCAATGAAGTAAGATTTATGAATGTTTTAAAAAAGAAAAGAAACATAATTGAATGAAAGAAAGTAATCTTATTGATTGATACTGAAAACTAAAATCGGATCAAGCATGACTGAGTCAATTCGATTGGGCACTAATCTCTTTATTTGCTATCAAACCTGTGCGTGAACATTCACTTTTTTATGAGATTTAGACAGTCAATGTTCTTTGCTCGTATAAAAAAAAGTATTATTTTACTATTGTAAAGAGTTTCCTTGTGTGCCACTCTTTGAATAAAGTGTTTCAATAATAAGTTTGATTGTTTGTTTCTCTCGTGGGGTAATGCTATTCTATGCCTCCTTTGTACAGCACCAAAGATACAAGGGTTTCATGGACACCCTCTTCGCAGCAAAGTAGAAAAGAAGTATTTTTAGTCATCTACAAGTGTAAGGATGTTTTATAATGCCGACCAAAATCAAACACCACTCTAAGAGATGCGATATTTAGAAAAGTTTTGTTTAATTTTCCAATTTTTGGGATCTTAAACACCATATACAACCGAGATTACAAGTTTTAGATTGATCCAATCGAGTTCGAGACAGACTAAGTAAAAAAAAAATACTGCACTACTTCTCTTACATTCTCCATTCGTATGTCTTCTCATGAAAAATTACTTTTGCGTCGAGACTATGTGTATGATGTAGATTCAAATGAGGTATGAATACCTTGAAAAGAATTCTCGTCGTTAGCTCATTGCCACGGAGATACTACACTTTTATGATATTTTTTTTTTGTCAATGCATGACCACTAGCAAAAGTAAGTTTCAAATTTCGATTTGAAACTTTGCATAGAGACAGATTTGAACAAGAATAGTCTTTTTGAGAAATTTTCAGTGCTTGTTGCTGTTCGTATTCTGAGATATCACTGGAATCATAGTGTATTCATTTTGCATTCCACGTATAAATCAGCAGATTTTATCTTCGTATTTCAAAATAGAAACAAATCAAAAGATTCGAAACTTTCACATTAAACTTTTCTCTTTAAGACCTGTCTCGATGCAAAGCTTTAAGTCAAAATTCGAAATTCAGTGTTCCTGAGGTGGAGCACGACATATTAGTAAAAAATCAATTATATAAAAATTTTTTCAAATAAAAATCAACGAAAGCAGAATTGATAATAAGAATATGTGGCTTATAGTCTATTTTGTATCCATGTATATGTCAGAATGATACCATAACAAAGTTCGTTATGCGGCTGATACTAGTATGTTCCGGGTTACAGCGACAGCATCTATTTGATCTAATACAATGCCGTAATCTTACCATTATCCTCATCCTTAGCAGCGCTATCCTTGACCCACACTCACATTCTCTTACATAAAACATCAACATGGTCTTTTGGTTAGAATGCATTTATTTGTTTTAGGCATTATAATAATCATAAAAATTAAAATGAGTCAACTATTGGAGAACTAGAGGCAACTTTACCTGTTTTGTCAAGAGAGGAAGAAGAAGAACTAAAGAAAATTTTATGAAATGGGAAACATCTTATTGTTCAATGTTAAACACAACTTCAAGAGCTAGATGATCTGACGGATAATGGATCGATGGAAGAGCATTTAGTCCAATATCACTTTTGTTTGGAAATTGTAAAATAGCCTTGGGTGTAAATCCTTTTGGCTTATAAAAAATATAATCAATTGCTTTACATTGTTCACGTTCGGTTTCATCACGTCCTTTAAATTTCCAAGTAGTAAATTCTGGTTCCTTATCATTCAGTTTTGTTCTATAAGCACTCTGGAAACCAAAATTTAGAAATTCAGAATAGCAAGGTTCATCCATATCCCCATTAAAATCACCAGCTACAATCACATGTTCTCGTGCTGAATATTTCTCGTTTATAAAGTTAACAATGGCTTTGGCCTGATGTGTTCGAGATGTTTTAAATTCCTTTTTAGATTTAAAGTGAGTTCCAATAAAAAGGATCTCTTTCGATGAATGTTTATGTTTCAGATCAAGGACGGCAAACATCTAAGAAAGATATAGGTACAAAAAAAAATATTTATTCAAGATAAAGAAACACAAAAGTAAATACATGCTATAAAAATGAAATAAAGAAAGTCAACAAAAAGAACTAGTTCACTATGATATAGTTATACTTCTTCGAATTTGAAGTATATATAAAGAAAAAAAGAACAAGAACAAGCATTTAGCTTTTTTTTTTGGGTCGGTTAAGTTTATTTTAATACTCAAAGTATGTGTATCTTGCGTTGAAAACAATAGAAACAACTTATAATAGAATTACCAATAATAGTATCTACTAATAATGAGGTCAATTGTTTTAGGTTCTCCAGTATTTGGGTGTTGTATACATTTTTCAATGATACAGGTATCTTAGATTGAAGAAAAAACAACGAGGGAAATCTTCCAACTAACAGATTGCTTTTTGACTCAATAGTATGTGTATTATGTAGACCCACATAAGTTATAAATACCTTGACAATGGTTCTTACAATCAACTTATTGCTACGAAGATAGTACGTTTTTACGGTATTTTTTAAATCGATATCGTGATTCTTCTCAAACATGTCAGAAAAGCTGATTTTCGAATTCCTACAAAAATAAAAATTTTCCTAGAGACAAGCCTTAATCAGAATAGTTTCTTTTGCAAGTGTTTCATATCTTATCACTGTTTCAAAAGAGAAGCAAATCAAGAGATCTGAAACTATATCGTTAAGGTGCGTCTCTATACAAAGTTTCAAATCGAAATTTGAAAAACAGTTTCTCTGGTGTTTCCCGCAAGGATTCACAGCATTTATTTAAAAATACTGTAACAGTGTGGGATCTTCGTAGCAATAAGTTATGGGTAAGATCTCTTTTCAAGGTATTCACTGTTCGTTTAGATCTGCCTCATGCACATAATCTTGATTCAAAAAGTGATTGAGTAATTGAAGGATGTTCTTCGTAAGATACATATTTGAAAGATTTTATATTTCCTATGCTATCAAATTTTTTATTGAAATGGTTCGATGAGATATATATAATTTTCTAAAAGAAATAACAAACCTGTTTTTCGCGTCGACCATCGTCTGGCAACTGTTCTCCATACTCACTGAGTTTCTCGAATACATCAGTTTTATAACACAAAAGTGTGCCATCAGGACCCTTGAAATTTTTGGTATCATCTTTAAATAAAAGACATTTCGAATTGGTCTTGGGCACAAAAAAACATGCATAACTGGAAAAGTTTATAAAACAAGGAAAAATTGAAAATATTTTGAATATATATTTTATTACCCATATTTTGGTAATTCATCTTTAAAAAAACAATCATACATGTCCATTTCTTGCAATGCACATAGATCTGGTCGACGGATAATAATTTGTTCAAGGATACGCCATTTACGTGTTTCAAAATCGACTACCTCATCACTAACACGGACGAAATTGCCCTTAGTGTATGAGAGTGCTGTAAATATATTAGATACGAATTCTACAGATAAGAATATAGTTGTATACACTTACCTTGAGCAAGAACATTCCATTGAAGTACATGAATTGTGGTCTTAGTCGGTGAAACATTAATATCAAATTCCCTTTTGAGACTCTCTGGTTTAATGTGTTGTTTTATTCTATAAATATATTAGAAGAAGTCTGAATAATCTGAGATTTGCTTCATTCTTACTCATTTGGAATTGAATTATTGGTCGCTGAAGTTGCCATGGTATATTTTTTTCAGTAGAATTTATTCACTTTATTTACGCATCAACAAAGGTTTATCTAGACAAAAAAAAAGACGAATCAAAAAGTAATTTAAAAAAAAAACTTTTATGCGATTTCAAGTACTACATAAGTATATCTTATAACAAGCAAATATCATCATAATAATCCATCTCAATTATATAAGACATTCTTATGTTCTATCTGACGACCAGTAAACAAAGTTATTTCTGTACAGAAATTTAAAACGAGATGAAACGGACTAGATTTGTGTCAGTTTAATCCTAAGATCTTCGAGAACTTTATATTACTACGTTCATCAATTTTTGCAAATGTCTTTCACTATCTAAGAATAGCTCCAAAAAGATTACAAAAGAAATACTTGTACGAAAGAGTAACATGCTTGATTATACATTCTTTTAGAAAATAGTGAGAAAAAATTCGAGATTCGCTGAGATCATTGATGAATCCCAATTGATTGATAATTACCTTTGTGACGCATCCTACGAAAAAAGTGGGCAATAGTCATATTGACTAAGCAGTTCAAACAAATTGTTTTCTGTGCTTCAGATTGAACTCTGATATTGAAAAACCAAACGCTTACTTGAAAATTATCCATCCAACTAGGTTTCTTAGTTTTGATCAGCTGAAAATAGGAAGATGTTTGTTTTATAGAAGTTCGAATTCAAATAGGGTATAAACACAATCAGAGAAGATCTTATTCATTGAGATCCTAAATTTGTACACTTCTCTATTGATATGAGCAATTATCAAAAACCAATTGCAACATCAAGACTTTTGGTTTCCATTTATACATTAATAACTATCTATTGTTCGGGTTTTTAAAAATGAATTGTGTAGTAAACATCAAAGCTGACAAACAATAGTAGATGACACTAGATTACATGATTTCGTCATTAGCGATTTATGATAAAAATTCATTAAAACAATTATTTATTAAATTATAGTGTTAACATAACTGAGTACACCTTAAATATTCAGAAATTTTGAAACTGTTTTTCAGTTTTCAGAGAAAATTTGTGGAAAAATATGATTTTATTTTAAAAATCATTTTTATTATTCACGACTATTGAATATTATATTTTCTCCATTTCAATTCAATAGCAACAAAAAGGAACAACATTCATAATCTGTATGACTTACCAATTATGAATAAATGTTTGTATTCTTGTTTAATAATCTAAAATGAGTAACACTATTATGTAATTGTAATTATCAATATGAAAATAATACAACGATCAGCACATGCCAAATTATTCATAATAATTATATATTGACAACTATTGATATGATCGTAGAATTTGAAATCAAAAAATGTTACTATCTTTAAATGTGCAAGCGCATTACGTAAAAAAAAATATATCTTCAGAAAAATAGCAAAACTTGACTGTAAAATAGAAGAATTTGTCGTACACGTTGAAATAAGTTTCATTTCAATAATACATCACAAACAAACTATTCAATGACTTCATTCTTTTTTTCTGTTGTTGACAATAGAGAAATGAAGAAGAAAAAAGCAAGTTGCAAGCTATTCATGGACGTAGCAACGGCGCCAGTAACATGCTCGTTGAGTATTGCATGCATGCAACATCCAACAGCTTATGTTTTTATGTGGCGCCTCATGATTACCTATGTCATGTGGCAAACATAAGAACGTAACACTTTCTTAAACAATAATATATGTTTATTTTCTCAAGGAATCAAATAAACTAAAATCAGTTGAGAAATGTTTATAGTGTTGATAGATTGGATATCCATATCAAACATGCAGCCGATACCGACTAATGGTCAATCATTATTGATATGTCTTATCTGTTTTTTTTTATGTAATAAAATTTCGTTGAAAGTTGATTTTGTCAAATCAGTTGTGGAAAATCTCGACCAATCCAACCTTGGACCCACATACAGAATCCATAGTCATACTTCTTCAATTGTTTACACTAGTCAAATTTGACCGAATATTTATTTTTTTCGGATTCAGTCTCTTTTTTACTTCAACTGTTTGTGGAGCACATTAAGAAAATGGTAATGTTTATAGGACAACTGCTTATAAATTGGATTCTGTTTCGGATTTGTTCAAATATAATTTGTATAGAAGAACAAGATTTGAGCGTATATGTTACCGTACATCATCAAGGTACATCATTTGTTTATATAGGAGTGATTGATTTGATTATTCAAAAATTTAATATTGCAATCAAAACACCCTGTAAATTGTATTTTGCATGACAAAAGGCTCAATTTCAATGGTTGTTGCCTTTGTTGTTCAACGAAACTTATTTATCTATTAAGTATTAGTTGGAAAATATGGGTTAGAGCATAGCCAAATGACGAGAAAAATGCGAAGTTGCTGATTTCCTCTCACATAATACTCAAATACAGTCAAATATTGCTCTTTTTCGACAATGCTTGAAGTGAACAGCACTGGTACGCATCATAGAACAATAGAAAGCGGAATGAACACTCGAAACAATTCACGACTATCCTGGCTCGGCCTATTGTTGGCCTCTTGGTAAATTTGTTCGATGAGTTGATTCTAAGAAACGAAGGCTGAAAAAATTTATTCTATTATATTTCGACTCTAATATACGTACATTATAGGCGCAACAAAATTTTCTAGACTAGAAATATTCAATGATCTTCATTAACATCAAGCGAAAATTTCTAATGTAAATGGAAGAAGAAGTGCTCGATCAATTGCGTGATTTTCTGTGTAAGAGACCCAGGAGATTATAAAAGGAAAAAATTCTAAAGATAGCAGTAATATCGAATGCGATTGAAAAAAATTGATCTGGGACGACAATATCTAAATTAATTTTGCTTGATTTGAACAGGAATGAAATGGAAATTGAAGAAACTTAAAAGTTTTGTTATGCATACTGTACCATTGATTTCTTAACGAAACTTGTTTACGTGTAATCATATTCTTTTTATAAAAATAGTTTTTGAGTGGATATGCTCTAGCAGAAAAATCTTCTAAAAATCTACCACATGTGACGCGACCTACCTTTTATTAAAAAAAAACACAAGAAAATAACGACATTGAATGCTTTTATAATGACGTATGTTGCATCCTTTCTTTTTTCGGTACTTCAGTGTTATTTGTTTTCTTTTATACCATATGTTATGTTGGTAATGTGCTGCAAGGAGAACAGAAAGAAAAAGTTATTGCAAAACCATTAATTTTACCCACACTGACAAAAAAAAACTGACGTATCTTTTTTTCCATATTACATTATGGAAGAACAGCTACTGATCACCATGATGGGAATTTCCTGCATATTCTCGTATAAATATTTCAAGCCAATTGAATACAAGCCGATTCCAATTTTGCGATTAACTCTATTTCAATTAGTCCTGGTTAAAACATTCAATATCTATCATGGAGAATCAAACCAGCAATCAAAAATCATGGTCAAATTCTTTTCTGGATTCTTACAAAACATTTGGAGCTCAATATGCACTTGAAATGCTCCATTCACTTGGTTCTTCATTTGATAATAAATATGTGATGAATGAATCTCTTCAAACAATGATGATTGACTTGGCCAATAAAGACGATAAGTGTTTCTACAAATTGGCTCTGAATGCATATCATAGTCTTCAAAAAAATGAATCACTTGATTTAATGACTATTTTTAATGAAGATGAATTTGAATACAACAAACATGATTTATTCAAATTCGATGAAGAAAAACAAGTAAACAATTGTTGAACTAATTAATATTAAATCATTCTATATTTATTTCGATTAGGAAAAAGATGATCTCTATTATGATGTTAATGTTGTTCATGTTACTCCGTCTTGTATAAAAGTTATGCCACGCGAACGAACTCAAGGTCATCGTGTTCTACGTCATCGTATTTTCACTGATGTTGATGAGTTTTGTTTGGTATACTTTAAACCAGATAAAGTCGGAGAATATATTAATCAGTGTCGATCTTATGCGATGGTGTTGAAATCAGGTATTCGTATATGTAATATACACTACCATTTTTTCGGTGCATCCAATTCGCAACTACGTGAGCATAGTTATTGGTTTGTAAGAGCTAAATCTCACGAAGAAATTGATCAAAAACGAAGACAATTGGGCGATTTTAGTAAGATTACTAATATCGGAAAATATGTGGCACGTTTAGGTCTTTGGTTTAGCAAGAGTATTCCAACTGGAGTAAGGATCTTTTATTTCTAATTAGCTCTCAGAATAAATATGTATATCTTCACTCTTTCAGATTACACTCACTTATACTGAAGACTTCGATCGACGTGTTCAAAATGGTGAATATTGTGTTACAAAAATCGATGATATTGAGCGTAATGGTTATTGTTTTACAGATGGAAATGGATTTATATCAAAAGGTTTAGCAAGAATTGTGGCCAAAAAACTTGGTTGTCGCATAAAAACTTTGAATCATGTATGTATATATTGTGTTTTTGAATTGTTTGTCTTTTGAAAAGTTTTTTTTAATCGACTTAGGATATCTATCCATCTGCTTATCAAATTCGAATGGCTGGCTGTAAAGGTCTTGTCGTTGTTGAACCACAATCCACATTGGAACAATTTTATATTAAATTTCGTGAATCAATGAGAAAGTTCGACTCAGATGACTGGAGTTTGGACATTTGTGAAACTAGTCAACCGAGTAAGATAGCTTTTTTAAATTTCAAGTATACAGAAAGATAAGAAAATGTACAAATACATTGTCAAGAGATCAAACAATCCATGAGGAGTTCTACAATTAAACTCTATCGATTTTAAGGAAAAAAAATATTCAAATCAATATCTGAATATGAGAGTGAGAGTAAGAGTTTATTATTAGATGGATAGTGCACGATGCTAAATGAATATTTACTCAATTTTCGTATTAGTTTTAATTTGAAAATTTTAAACTTATAGGCATTCTCATTAATGTTGAGTAGGTCCGTCAACTTTTCAATAAATACAGTAAATTGTACATGTTGCACATTGTTTCTTATTATCAAAGATTTGCACAAGAGGTTAGATCGGTAATCGATGTCATTCTCATTAGAACATATTCTTTTCTTTTGTAATGAGTCGAATATTTATTGCGTTGCTATTGATAGCAATAGATGACTAATTTAAACGGACAAGTTTTATTTTGTACGAAAAATGACATCAATAAATTTAACAGTTTTTACTAATTTTTCAAAACTGTCTCACGTATCTGCTAAACGATTGATCCATATGACTAATTGGAATAAAAATTTACAACAAAACTTAGCGTCATTTTGAAACAAATCTTATCAAAGATTACTTTGCAAACCATCACTAGGTAGTAGAGATGTCTTTGACGACATGGTGGCTTTGCCTTTTCTAACATTGCTTTGTTTAATTTTCAACTTTTCAAAAACTTAAGTTTTCATGATCGATTGTACATTTTTCATCGTACTATGAAGATCCAATGTTCAAGAAAAAATAATTTGATTTTATTATAGTTCCGACCCGACTCAATAATCAAATTATTATAATTATGTCCGATCTTGGTGTACCCGACGAGACTTTTCTTCGTCTACAACGCAAGTGGTTTGACGATAAAGAACGACCACCAAATATTACAGAGTAGAAATCTTGTTTTTTGTCTCGATAATTCAATCTGACGTTAGTTTTTCTTCTTTTTATGTAGACATCTTTTAAAAAATAAGTTACCATTACCAGTAAATGAATGTCGATATATGTTTGGTTGTGCATTCGAATCCGGTCTTGAACCTGGACAATGCTTTATTCGATATCAGATTGTTGACGATGACGGAAAACCACTCAAAGAACCTCGATTTGAAACCGTTGTCGGACGTGTCATTGTTACAAAGAATCCTTGGTTAGTTTCATATTGTTCCTTTTATTTTCTTGTGTTTAAAAACTAAATCTTAATCAATATTTTAGTCCTTATGCTGGTGATATGATAGTATTAGAAGCTGTCGATTGTCCTGAACTCAATTGTCTAACTGATGTGATCGTATTTTCGACTAAAGACGAACGTAAGTAGTCGCATTCTTTTTTGTTGTGAATGTAATATAAATATAATTGTAGGACCAGATCCAAATAAAATTGCCGGATCTGATTTAGATGGTGATCATTATTTTGTACGTTATTTTGTGGAATATTCTGATAATTAGCAATTCGTTTCTTTCTCTTTAAAAAGGTTTATTGGGGTCAAGATTTGCAATTGTCTCGAAAAGTTGAACCACTCGATTATACATCATTTGCAGCAAAGGTTCCTTCAAACTCTAGTCCTATTACTAATGTCAATATTACAAATCATTGTTATTCATTATTGGGTGCTACGAGCTATGGTGAAATTTATAATTTACATGCAAATGTTGTTGAAAAAAATCTAGAAAATTGCGAACAACGTACATGTCAGAAAATTGCCATTGAACTTGCGACAATGTTTTCAGCTGCCAGTAAATACATTCAAATTTTAAAATGATTTATATTATCATTTCGATTGATTTGTAGTTGATTCTGCTAAAACGGGTTATGTCATTAATCGAAAACGTTTAAGTCAAATTCGCAAAACATATGGTACAATATATCCGGATTTTCTGATGAAAAATAACTCATACGAATCTCAATCTATTGTTGGTAAACTTTATCGACAAGCGATCGAATACAGAAATGCAAATCCTGAGAGATTTCGAAATCAAGACATGGATTTGCACGCAAATACATATAACAATGTAAGAATTTTTAAAATTTCATTATAGCAAGGAAAACTTTTCTGTTGTATAAAATAGAAAATTGATCAGTTTATATCCATAAGAAAATTGTAAAAATGGAATGCAAGTTTTTGTTTAAAAACTCTTTGTAATCCTATTCTATTGTATTTATTATATGAGTTATAAAATAGCTACAGTGTATATATGACTTTTACTAGTTAAAATTACTATAGTTATATTGTAAATTGATTTTTTGATCAAAAGTAGTTCTTAGCAGTGTGTCTATAATTTCATTTAGGTAAACGCCACAATTTAGTTCAATATTATAGGAATTCGTGAAAAACTATTGATTCATCATGCTATCTAATTTTTTTGATCCTTTAAAAAATTTCTTCAATAGTCTTAAACAACACTGAGATATAATTTCTAAAGCCACATTCGAAAAGTTCACAATATATTGGTCTTAGTCCATAGTTTTTGACTTCTCAGCAACACTTTCAAGAGATTCAAAAATAAGCAAATGTTTTGTTTCAAAATTTACGGTCCACCCGGTATGTATAATTAGAAACCGCAGTATTTCGGTAGTTTTTATCTTTCTTACACATTATCAAAATTAACTTTCGATAAGATAGTTGACAACTTGACAATTGATAAATAAGCGTTTGAACATGGAAACTTCACGGATATCGAAAAAATACTCAAATAACTATATAATGTGGGTGGCGCACCGTTTTCTATTTTCAGTATTCTTGGTACAAACATTTTGTAGTTCTTTTGGTTTTTATTTAGTTTCGAATGAAGAATATTTATTCGTATGTCGAAATACGTACTGCATTGAACATCGATCCACATATTATTTATCAAGAATTGAAATATTTTTGTGGTGATAAAGTTCCAGATGAAAGTAAAATAGCAAAATGTGTTGCCATTTATAAAAAGAAGAATGAACATATTGAACAATCCATTGAATGTAAAATAAAAACTGAAAATAATCATGGGCTACAGTCTAGCACAGCATTCACATATCCACTTTCATATTCATCTGCCTTCTCTTACCTTGTTTCTTTGTGTTTTGGCTTATATTTTCTTAGTTTTATTTCTATATTTCTCACCTTCTGGCTTCTTTTTAAGCGATGTACAGAATGTTCATGAATACTTTTTTTCTCTCAGATTGTACTGACGATGAACGTGTGTTCAATCATGTTATTACGCAATGTTTCAAAAGGCAATATACAAAACTTGAAAAGAAAAGCAAATTTGTTGTGAAATAAATTGTCAAGCAGAATGGAAAAAGTTAAATTGATTTGTAGAGTTTCTCTAATTTCTGTTTAATTCATTGATGACTCAATCGATTTTCCCTCGAATGAATCCAAAGTTGATCTTTTTCTAGCATCTTTGATCGAAGAGTGTATGCCATAGATCCAATTGATTGACATAATTTAGTTTGGTTGGTGAGCTTCAGGGAAAGTAGTCAGGTTGCTCCTGACTTTCGCCGTTTCAACAACAACAAAAATTGAATATGACAATACAACTGTTGAGCCACTGATAATGGATGGATGTGCGTGTGAGTAGATTCGATACCCATACCCACACCCCATATTGCTAGATGTTAGATTCTGAGCTCGATTTTTGTATTGTTTTTGCTTGTAATTTTGAGCTAAGTATATTACAAGAATCTTGTTTGAAACTAGTTGAATAACAAGATCTACTTGTTATTGTGTACTTCTTGAAAATTTTCGAGCTTAAATATCTAGTAATTCTTTCATTCTTGAAAATTATTACTGAATTATTGATTAGAGAAGAATATTACATTATGCATTTGTTTTTGCAAAAAAAATCAATTCAAAAGTTGTACGTGTAAATTTGACTTACAATCTACGACAAGAATATATGTATTTCGAATTTCTAAGATTTATGTACTGCTTATGATAGTCTTTTCAAGATAACAGGCCAGTGAAATAAAATGAAAAAAAAAACAATAGATAATTCAAATCAAACACATCTACGCTAACTTTATTCAATATTTGTTTGTTTTTTCCTATCGCATCAACTTTTTTTTTGTAATGATGACGAAGGAACCATTGAGAGATAAATACTTGGTGTTCCAGCTACAGAAAAAGCGAATTCGCTCATCCTACATCAAATATTTGATGTAGAAGAAGAAAAAATTTCTTTTCTCTCGGACGGGAAAAAATGCGTAATCTTTTACTCTTTTGTTTTCAAAAGGTTGTTTTTGTTGTCATTGTAGAACACGTTGACTCGATAGAGCAAGGGATAGTACTTGGTACATGAGTATACTCAAACATAGCAAAAATTATTTCTTTGTGAAATTAAATTAGATTCTCCTTTTGAAACTATACTGAAATGAATATTATTAATTTTAGATCGATTTCCTTGACTATGCACATCATACCATTATTATATCAACCCGAATTTCAATCTCTTATCTTCTTAGTTTCAAATAGTCTTATTGTATTATTGACAAATTATTTTTTTCCAACATATTCATTTTATTCTTTAATTCTTTATTTTATTTGTATAATATTGATAAGCAGAATAATAGCATCTGGCCATTCATATATACCACCGAAAAATACAGATTTAACAGGACAAACTATTATAGTTACAGGAGCAGCATCTGGTATTGGTCGTGTATCAGCAATTGATTTTGCTAAATTAGGTGCAAAAGTAATTGTTGGTATACGTGGTCAAAGTCGAGCTGAAAAAATAGCTCAATTATTAGAACATGAAGCACATATAATTGGTACTGGTAGAATAATTGGTTACGATTTGGATTTATCAAAACTTTCAATTGTAAAAAAATTTGCTGATAAAATTCTTGAACATGAACAACATGTAAATATTCTATTGAATAATGCTGGTACAGTACAATTAGTACATTCAGTAACATTTGATGAATTAGAAACACAATTCGGTATAAATCATATTGGTCATTTTTATTTAACAAAACTTCTTTTACCATTATTAATTCAATCAAAAGCGCGTATTGTTAATGTCAGTAGTCTTGGACACTGCTTTGTCGATGATCATATCAATTATGAATTTCCTAGTTCATCATATAATGTACAAATAGCTTATGGTCAATCAAAATTAGCTCAAATATGGCATGCTTATGAACTACAACAACGTTATGGTCAACAAGGTATAAATGCATATTCATTACATCCAGGAATGATCTTTACAGGAATAACACGACGAGCACCAAAATTATTTGATTTTGTTTATCAATTAGTATTAGTTATAGTTGGTAAGTCACTAAGTGAAGGAGCACAAACAAGTCTATATTGTTCATTATCAAATCAAGCTAAACCAGGAAAATTTCATGGTAATTGTAAAGAAGCGAAAACAAGTCCATTGGCTTATAATAAAAAATTAGCTGAAGAATGTTGGGAATTTAGTGAAAGAATTGTTAATGAAAAGACAAAACATTTTTAAGTGAACATTGAACTGTATATACACACGATCTTCGCAGTGAATATTAACATTTCCTAGTGCAGGTCATCATCAACCAAGTACTCATATAGTACTTGTCTTTTAATATTAAGTGTTTCGTGAGTAATTATATACAGCTTTTTATAAAATTAGTCATCAGCATATATGTTGTTTATCATTGTTATACTACATCGGTTTTATTTAAGGATGAAAATAATAATAAAAGACAGAGATACATACGATGAATTTTTAAGAGATATTATAATTTTGAAAATAACACGTATTGAATAACCCTTATAGTCTTTGCATACAGGTTAAGAATAAACTTTCTACTTTTTAGAAAATTAAAGTAATAGTAAACAAGTATGTACTCTGAACTATTGTCGATGTCAAAACAAAATTCAACTTGATATTTTTGAATGTCTCGTGAACAAATGTAGCTATAAACCTGCAGATTCCACCATTTGAAACAGAAATGTGGGAGAAGTGGAACTTTGCTGAATTATCTGAACTGTATTGTTGTAGATTTTGACAGGAGGTTTTGAAAAACTTCTTCAACGAACAATGAAATCCAATTTAGAGAATTGATAGTGAAGACATTTCTCTGTCGCAATCAAACCAAGATCAACCTTTCTAGCTTATTCCATTACGAAGTTATAAGAGTTTTCATGAAAGCTTTGAAAGCGGCCAATTGACTATCGATCACTGTAAACTATATTGAATTTAGTATATTTGTTTACGCTAAGTCCAACTGTGGTTTTAGTTTTCGTATGATCATACGTTGATACATAATGATTTTTGTAATTTAATCTATAGAAAGCTTTTTGATATTAGATCAAGTATTTTCAAGACCTGGTCTTTCTAACATCAGATCGTTTCAAAATTAAAAACAAATACCACAGTTGAACTTGGCGTAAACGAACGTACCGAATTCAACACAGTTTATAGTAATCGATGGTCAGTTGGTCGATTTCAAGGGTTTCACGAAAACGCTTATAACTCCGAAATGAAATAAGCTAGAATGGTTAACCTTGCCTTGATCGGGACAGAGAAATGTCTTCACTATCGATCTTTTCAATTTGCGGATATGAAAGTGGTTATTGTATTCAAGTCGATGACTGACACTCGCATCCTTAATAATCATCGAAATTCGGAAGATCGACCAGCAAACAAAGTAAGTTACCTCCTTTCAAACCTTCTTCTCGACAAATATTGAATGATTTGACTTGCATATTAAATCATGTGTTTAATAAAAAATCAGTTAATCAAAATCATAATTTTTATATGTTTGTTTTTTTTTGTGGAACTATAATCCACTTAATCGTATGTATTTTCAATTCAAATCAAATTTACATGTAATAATTGAACCATAAAATAGATTAATCAAACGAGGAAAATTTGTAATTATCCAAAAAAAAACAAGTTTTAAAAACGAAATGCTAAATTATCAGATAAAAATATTATCTTTAGTCTAATTTGATGGCATACGAAGAAGAGTAATTTTAACATGGTCATGTTTGCCTTGAAATAATATTTCATATTCATCAGGAAAATAAATATAACCATGTTTTCGAGCTCGAAGAAGAATACCAACGAGTTTGTTTGAAATATTTGTATAGAACTAATGATAGAATTATTATTTAATCGTGTAAAAAAAAACAATTATTAATACATACATCAAATAACTGTTTAAAGGTTATTTCATAAGTTGATGTTGATGAATCATCTAGTTTTTTTCCTAGACTTTTTATGGTTTCACATAAATATTTAACTTCTTGTTGAATATGAGCTTGAGCAGCTAAACCTCGTTGTTCGGTTCGACTACCTTTTGGTGGTCGACCATATCTAATTTATTTTATTCAATTAAAGAATAAGATTTTCTCTAAATAAAATTTTCTTACTCGGGATCACCTTTTTTATAAATTCGACAAGGTATCACTTGAGAATTTTTAGAATAGGAGTTCGACAGACGATCGGGTAATGGTGGAGCTGATGGTACCATGATGTATATGTCGTTCTTTCTTTTTTCTTCTTTTCTGCTTATCAACTTATCTGCACATACCGTACTTGTATACATGCACAAGGACGAAGTTCTATCGGGATAAGCAGTTTGCTTGCATATGTAAATATTCCAAGGAAAGTAATCCATAGAACCGAACAGAAAAGAAAAAAAAAGATGTTATGTCATATGACATGATGCTTCCTTGAAAATCTGCATTGTCATACGTACTATTTTGTTATGGTAAAAAGATACAAATCTTATTCGTTGAACGGAAAGGAAAAAGCCGATATTTGATTTTTCTTAATTTATGATGAAGACTAAAACTCACCCACCGAAAATCAATTGCAGATCAAGAGAGTAGCAAGTCTGTGAGATTCTACTACCTGAAATCGACTTGTATATAATTTCATCCAATAATAAACAATTAAATTTTTATTTCATTTTCAATACAATATTTATCCTAGATTATAGAGAAACATCATGGAAGGAGTAAAAAATCGTAAATTGGATTGAAACAAGAAATTGTTTTTTCTTTTATTAATAAGGAACATCTACCATATTATTAAAAAAAAATATATCATCATCTGAGTTAAGCACTACGTAGAAATGGAACAACTGATGCCAATAACACATTAATAAAACTTTTCATAAATGTTCAGTTCATGAAAATTCAATAATAAAAAACTTCACACTTCCGTATCTTAGGGTTCGGGAGATTTTCAGAGACCAAGCTACAGAACAAGATTGTTACGAGTACAAACTTTTTATCGATATGTTTCAACTTGCAGCACTCGAGTTATTTTAATTTGAAAGAGAACATCATATCACTTATGATGAGAGAAGGAGTATTTTTAATTTTTAATCTATTTCATTTTTCAGATTACCGAAACTTCAATAATCTGGAAAACTCTGGATTAATCTAGCATTGACAATCAATTAGCAAGTTTTTTTTCTCTCATCGAAAGGGCTATGCATATACCTATCGATACAGAAAAAAAACACAGCTTTCTAGAATGAAGTATGTTAAGAAAAAGTTCTTATTTTTATTTAAAAAAAGGATGAAGTATAAATATATTACATGTCAATCGAAATACTTATCAATTTACATTAAATTATCTTTGTACATAATACATAAGGACAGACAATGCCACATACAATTGCGTTTATATAAGTTATATCATTCATGAACATAATAAAGACGGAAGAATAACAAATTCATTTTTTTCATATACTACTAAAGTTATTTGCATTCTTTAATAATACTCTTGTTCTATAATGAGTTTTCGATTTCTAAATTAGTTTTTCATTGTACTAAAAACAAATGAATGTCGATTTACGAAAATATTTTATTCAAGCAGGAAAAAACAACGTCAATAAACATCCACATACAAACGGGAGGAAAATGAAGAATGCAAAAAAAAAAGAGAAAAGAACAGTTTAATGATGTCGTTTCTTTTTATATGAATGTTGATGTTCATATGCAATATTTCCATAATAATCAAGTGCTACAGTATTTCCAGTACCATAGGGTGGTGATGGAGAACCATATGAATATGAATGAAAAGTATTACTTTAGAAATTAGAAAAAAAAAATTCTAGATTAACAAAAAAAAACACAAAAACAATATGTTTAACATACCGATTATCAGAACTGTCTCGAAAGCCTTTAGCAAATGGATTATTATCAATTTTAAGTTGAGTAACCTATTAAATAAAACAAAAATTTTAAATTATATGAAAATAAAACAAATCAAAGTCATACATCAGTATTTTGATAAGCTGTAACAGCAATAAATTGTGTTTCAGGAAATGTAAATGTATGTTTTGGTGGTGAATTTGATTTATTAGATGATGTTGGATCTGATGATCGACCACTTACTTCAACAATATTTAAACGTGGCATATATTTATGCATTGAATTAAGAATTAGTGTCATCTTTCAAAAAAAAAAGAAGTATCAAAACAATATTTTTCTATTTAAATTTTAATCGACATTCTCACTTGATTTTGTGGATGACTTGTTGGTAATTGTTTATTATTTGTTAATTTTAATTTTGAAAATGAAATTTTTTCATTTCTCATCCAATGTGCACCACTATTCGGTGAATCCGGATGTAAATAAACATGATCTATAAATCGCTAATTTTTAACAAAAAAAAACAAAAACATGAAAATATCTTTTTACTTGTTTTTTGACATTGTTCAGCTTGTCCTGATGGTACCCATTTACCAGAATTAAATTTCCAATGATTAACATCAACTAAAACCATATCAACATACATATTATATGTTGCTTCAGGTTTTAATCCATAAATTTTATATTCAAGTGTTGGAAACATACGACGACCAGCTATTCAAATTAGATTAAATTTCATTTAGAAATATCATATAAGATAGTTACTTTTAGTTATAATATTTTCAAGTGTATGTGGAGCAAATTTTAACCAGAGTGGTCGATTGACTAATTCAACTATAATTGAATCAGATCGACAAACTCCATTTAATGGTGACTGAAATAAAAAGAACATTGGTCAGTTTTTTTTTCAAACTATTTTCAATAATATAAAATAATCATTCGAAGCGGTAACCTAAGTCGATGATTTGATCATTAAAGGTAAAATAAAATATTAGACATTGCTACGTTTTGAAAAATAAACACGAGAATATTTCGAAATCATTAAGATTGAGACGAAATAGGTGTCTACTAGTAGCACAACCAATGGTAGGTTAGACCTGACGTCATCTTTCCACCCACAGTCTCTTAGGCACTTCTCTAGTAACTACTAGGAAATCTGGATTTACGACAAGAAAGGATAATTTGAACTTTTTTTGCTAATGTTTTATTGAAAGAAAAGAAATCTTTTTGTCAAAACTGATGGAAGATGACAATATCACGGAAAATGAATATCCACTTACATAAGGTGTTAAATAATCTCCACTATTACTAGTACTACAAGCTGTTTGTTCTACAGGTGTTTGAATATAATTTGAATGTTGATGAAACATTTGATTTGATTGTATAGTTGGTATTGGCGATAAATTATAATCATAGATAGGAGTTGATTGTTGATCGGATGCTTTTTGTGGAAATAACACATCTTCAGATGAATAATGATGACGATGATGAGGATAGATTGGCATATAAATAGTTGAAGATCCTTGATGATTTGAATCATCTTCATTAATACGTGTATTTGATTGTGGATGAGAATATCCCGGTGAAAGTGTATAATATTGTGTAGGTTCATAAAGATTTGATGTTTGTGAATGATGAAGATTATTGGATTCATCATTAAATGGTACTGGATGATAATAGTAATGATGATGTTGTGGAGTATAATGTGTAGAATAATATTCTGATGAAATTTTAGTTTCATCGTCGTCTTTAGTAGCAAGTGGCGTTAACATAGTGGTGCTGTTCACGCTCTCGGTGCGACAGGTGCTAATCGACGAAGAGAAAACGATGAACAATAATGAACAGAAGTTGAAAAAAAAGAAAAAGAATATGTCTATTTAGTAACAAGAGAGAGAGAGAGAAAATAAAACGACCAATAATAATTATGAACCAATAAAAAATTAGAGAAAAAAATTCTTCTTCTTCTTCTTCTTTTTTCTTTTTTCCGCATTTGATAAATCATAATGACGAAAAGACAAAAATACTTTTTTCCGTCGTCGAAAAAAAAAAGAACTAAAATTTTATATCGTACATCAAGCGCAGCGGGTTATCATTAAAAACTTTGATTTAAAGTGATAATTGCATTCACTTATTCAAGTCAGATTCATTCATTACCGAATAAATGAATAGAAAAATGTATCACAGAGAAAAAACAGAATCTTGTTCGTGTGTTAAGTGTGAATAACATTCGAGAGATTTTTTTATCCATACATATGTCAAATATTGTCCAAAAAAATCAAATGAAAAAAATGTTTATAAAGATAAAACTTGCAAAAAAAAAAGAACTTTTCTTCGAACTAAATTTTTATTCATGTAATATAAGTGATACGAATTAGACTTTCTCTTTCAACAACGCAAAAGCAACAGATCTAGGTTTTCGAGAAAAGAGAAGAAGAAGCAATCGCTTCCAGTGCCCAATTCTAAATTCGCTACTGCCCATCAACTTCTAGAACTTATTGAAATTTTTCTCTATCCTTCATTGTATAAGTTATCATCAAACAAAAGAAATCCAACTGAAGATTTTCTATTCTGAACTCTGACTCTCTTTTGATTCGTTTAAAATGCATCAGATATTATCAATAGACAAGTTCAAATAAATCCAATGATTTAAAATAAATCCAATAAATTTCAATAGCCTCTGTAACAAAAAAAGCACAGATTTCAATAAGTCTATTTAGACAGTCGTTTCTGTTCATATTGAAGGTGTCATTTTGTATCTGAAATTCGTTTTCATTCGTTTTTCTTTTCTCAACTCTCTTCTTTTTTTTCCCATTATCAGCTTTTTTTTTGTGATTTACTTTCATCTGTCATCATCAATCTTCTGCATGCGAACGGAATTAAAGATCGAAGAAAGAATAAAAAAAAATATACAGTTGTATGTATATGTCTTAGTAGAAATTAAAATTCAGTAGAATTTAAAACTCTACTAGTAGGAATTAAAATTTCAATTTCTACTATAGGAAAATTTTAAATTCTACTAGAAACTTACACTATAGAATTATGTGAATATCTCCTAGAATAGAAATAAAATTAAACCTTGCGATCACTGGATTATTCGATTTAATGGCATAAACAACTTGTAATTCCCCAATAGTAACTAATTTAAAGTGTTTATGGAGCTAGAATTTAAATAGCTTCACCCCAACCACCTTTTATTACCGTATATGATGTCATTATAAGCAGCTTGTGTGATAACAAACTTTGAACGAAATCTTTCGCCTAAAGATTCTATATGTTTATCAAATTTCGAATAAAATGGTTCCATTTCATGTAATATTCAAGTCTTTTTTATTTTGATACTGACGCGAGAACTTCAAATTAAATATCAAAATCTTTTTTCTTTGCGTTCTACATATTGTATCATTCGAATGAGGGTTAATTTTATTTTCTATTCTGGGAGATATTCACATAATTCTATAGTGTAAGTTTCTAGTAGAATTTAAAATTCTCCTATAGTAGAAATTAAAATTTTAATTTCCACTAGTGCAACTTAAAATCGCCGGTTATTTCAATTTCTTCTAGTAGAACTTGAAATTTTAATTTCTACTAGTAGAATTTTAAATTCTACTGAATTTTAATTTCTACTACGACATATATACACTTTTCTCTAACACTCAACAAACAATATTGTTCATTATCAATTGTCTTCTTGAAGTTTGAAGAATTATCATTGTGTATCAATTTGTTGTATTTCTTCTGTAAACAAATGATGAACGCTATCGTAGTCATCATATTATGTCATAATGGATATCAGACATCTTGTCATTAGTTTGATTCTTGATAGTTACTCTGAGACATAGGCATGGTTACGGTTTATGTTGTATTTGATTAAGCATAACTGATTGATAGGAAATATCGATATGATTATTCATTTTGCTATCGTTAAGAAAAGCCAATATTAATTTTGTAATTATTTGTATCAAAAAATGATTGGATATTTGGTTTTAAAATTAGTTCGAGAATTTTAATTTATACTAAATTATAACTGAAAAGATTGACTTAAATTTTTGTTTTTAAATATGAGAAAATTATTTCGTATATGCATACATATGTAATGAATAAAATAATCTTATTCATGCTGTGATTTCATTCGAAAAGAATATTCTAGTACCAGCTTAATTTGTTCCATCTTGTTTTTAAATAGATTAAATTGAGATTTGAATTTTATATCATCACGCGATATTGTCAGAGAATATACACGTGCTATATGAATACTCTCTTGTGGTATGCACCTTTCATCCAACCAACTTCATGTATCACACGTTCACTTTTTGCTATTATATGCCTATTATCACATTTTTAACAAGTTACCGCTGCTAGTATGGCGACATGTAGTGATAATGAAATCAGGAAAATTATATTTTATTTTTATACTAGTCATCTTGTTCCCGCTTTTTATTCATTTAGTTCTTTGAAAGAGAAAAAAAAACCATTTTCAATCTTGTGATAACGTTAAAATAAAATACAAAAAAAAGAAAAGAATCGATATTCCACAGGAAAGAGTTGAGTTAGTAGTTACATTTAATTACGTACAATCGATTTGTTGAAATTACTTTTCAAAATAATTGTTGATTGAAAAATTCATCATTTTCGTTATGGTACACCATGTAATGGTTAGGGACCGTTTGATTGATGAAGTTTATCAACCAGATCGAGTCTCTGAAATGTTATTTTGAAGCTAAATTACTGCATTGAACTATATTTTGTGAGAATTACTTGAGCACAGTTCGAACGATCTGAACTGATTTATATATGACATATTCAAAGTTTGTTACATACTATCATTTCATAGATTCGTTGTAATAACTACTAGCTCAGATATTTTTTCAAGTAAAAATTAAAGTAACTCTTTTTTATGAACTTTTATGTGTCAAAGCCACTATTTTTGGTAGGCCCTAAACTATTGGTTTATATGAGAAACATAAAAGACACGTTGTTATCATGAATCATTAATGATAATCTTATGTCTTAATTAGCAGATAAATCTCAGTAACAATTCTTTAGATTAATAAATATGAGTATTTATTCTTTTATTTAAAAAAAAAATATGATCGTAAGAATTTGATTCTTTTATTCTCATGGATAAAGTTGATAATAATAAAAAAGAAGCATTTTATAGATAACAAGAATCTGATTTGAAATAAGTAATTTTTGTTGTGTTAAGATGAATGTTTAGATAGTATAAATCGTAATTTCAATATCATCTTCTTTGAATACATTTTGAATTAGTTGAGATACTTTATTCCAATCAAGTTTATCTAATCCACAACCTATTCGAGGCATTGCTAAATGACGAATATTATGTTGAATACATAAATCTCGCATTACTCGAAGACTTGATTCTAATGTAGCCATAGTTGGTTTATAAAAATATCGTTCTTTTGTTACCAAATAAAAAATACAACGATCATCTGCAGTAAGATAAGCACAACCGCCAACTGGTACATCTATGCAAATCAACAGAAAGAATATAAAAAAAATAAAAAATTCTTTCTAAAATTTTGTTAAATTGAGTAGATTTTCATTCGAGTATGTATCCAAAACAACTGCTTGACTTCGAATTAATTTACTGATTTCAAATTAGAAACGCACTTTGTTTTTGTAGTTCATTGATTTGACCAAATTTATCACGAAATAACATTGCAATGCCTTTCGACATATTCAAATCTCTTGAAACACAATGTGCAAGAGATGTATTTGATGAAGCTGAAAAAAGATCACCATGCATTTCACGAAAGATTAATGGCATTGTTTTTAAATCTTAAATATGTAAAAGTATCAATCGATTTCTTTCGATGCTATCAGAGAATGTTCATTGAATTATATCTCTAATTAATTTTAATTTATTAAATAAAAACTTATATATATATATATATGTATATAGCGAACTTATTTAAAAAAATAATTAGCACTGTATTTAATGAAGAAATAAAATAAAAAAGAAACGAGATTCAGCAAAATTAGAAATTCATTAACAATGACGAATAAATAATAAATAAATAGTTAACAAATGAACAGCACATAAATAAATAAAATATACTGATGATAAACGAGGACGATGAGTTAATGTTATACCAAGTTTACTAAACAAAAAAAAAAGAAATATGAATATTATTTAATTACTTTAAAAGGTGATTATAAAGGTTGGACTATAGAATGGAATATATATAGAATTGTAAAAAAAAAATGGCTTCCATTATCTAATAATGTATGGATTACCAAGTTCTACTGCATATCATTATCATCGTTCAGGCCATGGTGGAATGTGACGAACGTTGTGCATCTATTGACATATGAATGATACGCAGTAGAACTTGATAGTGCTTACACTATTAGATAAAGTCCATCTGTAAGTCATACATATATATATATTCGGCTCTGTAGTTGAAAAAATCATAGTCACCTCTCTTGCACAAAGACTTTACCTTTTTAATTCCCCTAATAAATTTAATAATGCGGTAGGTGTATCAATTGTGGAATCTAAAGTATATTTAATTAATAAGCTTTTAATGATTAATGCAAAATAATGTTACGTTTATTTGCCGTTGTCAATGGGATTTCTTCATCTTTGACATCGATTGCCGTCCTAAATTTATCAGAATAGTTTGTAACAGAAATTGATGCATCTTTATTTCATTACATTCTCAAAAAAACAAAAACTAAAGTTTTATTTGAATTGATAAGTGCTAGTTTCATCGAGAAAATCAGAATTATATTTTCGAATTTTTATATGAAATTTTGCCAATACATTGATATTATACACAATATTAATATGTTGAATGAGCTGGTCTAGTTTAGATATTAATTAATTTTCAAATTGAAAGCAGAAAATATTCTGACTCTTATTTGACTCTAGTATACATCAATTTTATACATTTCTTTCAAAGAAATTTGCAAGTTCTAATCATCTATTCTGCCATTGACTAATGACAGGATCAAAATCATGATGATCTTTACTCAATTCAAAATTGTATTAAAAACTAACCAATGATTCGATTCAGCTGCTTGTTGAATAGATAAATGATGTGGTTGTAATGGTGAAGATTCTTCAATATCAAGAATTGCTACTTGTGGATCTATTATAAAATAAATATTTTCTGAAAAAAAGAAAATATTAAAAAAAGTAATAATTTACTTATTTTTCTTGAATATTCTTCTTTATATAATTGATATTCATTTTGTAAGCATTGATATTGATTTATTTTTTCATTTAATTCTTGTTTTAAATTCATAAATTGTTGTTCATTATCAAATAAACGTTTTTCTAAATCATGTTTTATTTGTATATATTCATTAATTGTACTTTGTTGTTGATGAATATTTAATAATAATTTTTCATTTTCTTTATGTATATGTTCATTATGTTGACTAAGTTCATTTGTAAATATTAAATGATCTTGACGAAGTTTTAATATTGCATCAACAATTGAATTTATATCATCAACATTTTCAAGTGTATCTAAAAAGTTTTTTTTTTTGTATAATAATGAAAAATAAAAAGATTTCTAAAAAAAAAACCTTTAATTGTATGAAGATTTGTTTGTAATCGTTTATTTTCATTTTCAAGTATTTGTTTTTGTTCAAATAATTCTTTTCGATTTTTATCTAATTGATTTTTTTCATGCATTATTTGACGACATCGAGATTCATATAATTTTTTTTGTGTATCCATTTCATTCTAAATAAATATAATTGTAAGAAGTTTATAAAAAAAAAAAAAACTAATAAATAAACTTTTATTGATTCAATTTCAATTTTCATTGTATCTTGTAATTCTTGTTGTGTTTGACATTCATCAAATGTAACTTGAATTTGATTGTTAATACTACGTAACTGTTGTTCAAGTTCTTCGATTTGATTTTTATAATCAATTTCTTTTCGATGAAATTCATCAAGAGATTCATTAGCTTGTTTAAGCTATGAAAACAAAAAGATATAGTTTTTTTTCTACTTTTGTTTTAGAAAAAAAAACGTTTACTTCATTTGTTAATGTTTCATTATTTGTTTTCATTTCTTTCATTTTATTTAACATTCGTTCACGTTGTGTTCGTAATTTTTCTAATGTTTCTTCATGTTCCAATATTTGTTTACGTTGTTCGGATATTGTAATATTTAACAAATTTAAAGTACTATTTGTATCATTATGAGTTTGTAATTTTTCTTAAAAAAGAAAATACTCAAAAAAAAAATCAATATAATAATAAATACCTTTTAAATTAGTATTAGTTTCTTCTATTTCAGATAGACGATCGAAGATTTTTTCTTCATTATCAATGGATAAACGTTTTAAAAGTTGTTGTTTAAAACTAGAAACTAAAATAATTGAAAATATATGATTTATATACTAGATAAAATATGTATTTGAATAAGAGATAATCTAATTTCATCATAACATTTGGAAACATGCTTTCAACTAGCGCTTAGTGGCGTAACCAGGATTTCTCAGTATCCTGGATCTTCATCAGAGAGCATGGGGTTCCAAATGAAAACTTATGTACATTGATATTGGACCCAAATGATGAATTTCTATCGGAAAAAAATTTTGAATCAGAGTTTGCAAAAACAATTAGCATTTCCCTGAGCTCTACCAGAAAATGTTTCATATCTTTAATGATATGTCGTTTTCAAGAATGCCATCGAAAGCTACATCAAATTTCATCGACAGATTTCAAATTTTACTTAAAAAAGTTGATCCGTTCAGAAGTTATGGCATTTTTAAGATTCGAGACGTTTCGAAAAAATTTCATCAGGAATTGAAAAACGCACAGCTTCTGAACGGATGAATTTTTTTTAAATGAAATTTGATGTAGCTTTCGATGGCATTCTTGAAAACGACATATCATTAAAGATATGAAACATTTTCTGGTAGAGCTCAGGGAAATGCTAATTGTTTTTGCAAACTCTGATTCAAAATTTTTTTCCGATAGAAATTCATCATTTCAGTCCAATATCAATGTACATAAGTTTTCACTTGGGACCTACAGTCTGGTCTGATGTGCAGGACATTAGTTATTATCTCTAGCAAATTATTTTACAACGCGACATCGAGAAATATTAGATGAACGATTTCCTTATATACAATCTTCTATTTATATAACTTTTGTATTAATTGAAATAAAGTATTACTTTTTCCAATGGTATTTTGATCCTGTTCAATCTTCCTTTGATACATAACTAATGCTTGATCAATATTAATATTATCATCATCATCATCACATAATAATTGACATAAATTCTCGACTTTTCTTGAATAATTTTGTAATTTAGATATATAATCCAAATCATTTGTTGACTACAAAAAGAAGAATGATCATATTTCTAATTATTATTTTTATTTAGATTTTCATACATTATCAAAATCCAATTGATCAATTAATTCTTTTAAACGATTATTTTCTATAAGAACTAATTGAATATGTTTAAATATTGCAATTATATTCATTGTTTTAATAGTTGTAGATGTTAATTGATGATATTCAATAGAAAATGTATCGAATATTGCACAAATTTCATTAATACATGTTTGAAGTGATGAATCTAAAATCAAAAAAAAAAGAGACAAAAATATTGAAAATTAGTTTTATTAAAACAAAATTATTTACCATAAGTTAAGCCTAGTATATTCATCATTTGTTCAATACTTTTACTAATCGTATTTTCTTCTAAATAAAAATAATAAGAATAGTAAATATGAATCATTTGATTGTTTACTTTGAATAAGTTTTTCATGTTGTTCTTTTAATTGATGAAAGTTTTCATTTAATTTCACTACTGATTCAACAAGATTTTCATCTTCAATATTTAATAAATTTCGAAGTTTTTCATTATTCGAAAGTAATTCGTCGATTATAGTTGAAGAAGGCTATAAAATAAAATTTGATAAAAAATAGTTTTTTTTTTAATTAGATAATTTTACTAATTGAGATAATTCTTTGATTTTATTGATTATTTCTTCTGGATTATCTACTTCTATACCGCTGAGTTCTTTAATTTGATTATAAAAATTATCTCTATCTGTTGTTTGTGATTCGGCATCTATATATATATCTATGAAAGAGACAAAGTTGTATACGAAATAATAATATAAACGGAGAAACGAACCTTGTTTTTCTTGAATAGTTTGATTTAATAAGTCTTGAAGTTGAATATTATTTTCTTGATATTTTTGAAATAAATTTAAAATATCTTCATCTGAATTTATTTGCGTTTTGTCGACAAGTTTTTGACGAAAATTAGTTAAAGATTCAAGTAAATGACGAATATGTGTTATATTCGATCCTATTTATTAGAAAAGTATTTATGATATATGCTGACCAATTATATAGAAGAGGAGGTGCTTTAGAAATTTGGTGAGGAGAATCCTAATAAAACGCTGAAACTTTGATTAGGAAAAACGAAAAGTTTCCAAGAGTCGAGTTGAATCTAGATATGAACAAGATGATTTTAGTCTCGGTACAGAATATATTTTATTAGGTCACAAATACATCTACCTCAGAACATCAGTGAAAAAAGAATATAATATACCTTCATTGTAATCGATATTTGGTATAAATCGATCCGTAATTTCTTTGATATCAGTTTGTAATTGTTTCTCCTTATGAATTGATTCATTTAATTGTTTTTGTAGATCGTCAACAAGATTTTCGATATTTTTCTATAGAATAAAGCAAGAAGTAAAAATTTTAATGTGAAAATCTTATTACCAAAGTTTTTAATTTGATAATTAACTCATCAGTTGTTTCATTTGTCCAATGATTTTCATGAGAATTTAATTGATTAATAATTAATTGATAATCATGAATACGTTGCAATATTGATTCATTATTATTTTCTACGGATAATTTATTAGATAGAGTCAGAGAAAAATTATTTGATGATTGAAGAAATGAATGAATTAAATTGAATTGTATTTCTTCTAAAAAATAAAAGTGTTTTTAATATCAAAAATAAAAGTTGATATATTTTAAATATACCATTGTCTGTGTCTGATTGCAAGAATGAAGTTATTTCTTTTAGTTGACTCTTTCGTTGATTTGCTTCTTTTTTTAATTCCTGAATTTGTATTGTAAGTTCATCGATAATTAACTGTTGATCTTGATTAGAATCTTTTTCAGCTAACATGAGATGCTTTTCATAAGTTAATTTATATTCACGTACACGTTGAAGAATATCTTCATTTGATGTTACAAGAGTTTCAGAAGCAAGTGCATGTCGAAAATCTGCATCAGATTGAAGTATTGATCGAATATGATCCAATTGAGTAACTAAAACATTTAAAAATAATTTCTTTTCTATTGTATTGTCTTCTAACCTTCATTTATATTTTGATCAATTGATTTATTAGAAAATTTTAAAATAATATTATCGATTTGCTTGCGTCGTTCAACTATTTCATTAATATGTTCATCTAATTGATTTGTAAGTTGTTCAATTGTTTGTTCATGATTTTTAATACGTTCATTTAATTCTACTTCAACCTTTAAATCAACAAAAAAAAAAGAAAAAAAGAAAAAGAAAATATATAAATCTATGCTAATAATAAACGTACGAACATGTATTGCTTCATTACAACGTTCAATTAAAAGTCTTGTATAGTTTAAAGAATTATCATTATGATTATCAATATTTAAATGTAAATATTCTTTTATTTCGATTTGTTGTTGTTGAAAATTAAAATAATCATGTAAAACATTTTTAATAAGATCATAATCAGTAAAATTATGATTATTATCAATTTTTGTACGTAAATATTCTATACATTCACGTTTATTAATTAAATCTTTAATAAATTCATCATTATTATTATTATTATTAGTTAAATGAAGTAATGAACGAATATGTTGTAATTCTTTACTATCATATGAAAGTGTTTCTTTTAAACGAACAAGACTATTTAAATGTGTTAATAATTCAAATAAAATATCATCAGAATTAATAAGATTCAATATATCATCGGCTATTAAACTTTGTTGCAGAAGATCATGAAATTTTAAACGTTCATTTTTATGATATTGATCAAGAATCATTTGTGGAGAATTATTCAATGAATAATTATTATTATTACCAAGATCATTAAGAATAAGTTGACATAATTGTCTATCAAACATAATTTGAGAATGAAGATCAGTAATTGAAAAATTTTCTGTTGTTTTTTCAAATTCATCAAGTAAAAATTGACATTGTTGACAATGCATATTTTCATATGTTTTTCGTTGTTCTTTGTCAATATTTTCTTGTTTAATATGTTGTTTAAGTTGAATAATTATATTATCTAAACTTTTCAATTTTTCATCTTTTTCATATATTTCTTGTCTTAAACGTTCATTCATTTCTTCTCTTTCATCAATTTCATCGTTTAACTTATTTATACGATTACGTTTTTCATGAAGATCATTTTGATTTTCTGAACAAACATTTTCAAGTGTTGATATACGAAGTAATGCACTATCTAATTCACGATTAAGGCGTATTATTACTTCTTGTGAATTAAGAATTTGTGATTCAAGACCAGCTATATGAGCATTATCTGAAACAATTGATGATTCTTCAGCTTCCATTAAAGCTGAAGCCATTACAATGCTTTTTTTTTAAATAGCAATCTACAATAATATATTTTTGTATAAAGTTTCTACAAGCAGACAAAAAAAATAACGTTATTCACTGAATTCATTTTGAAATTAAAATATGAAAAACATGATACATTTTAATTATTGTGAATGCAAATATTTCATAAATTTTTCTCAAGGTTGTCATATATGTATAATGATAATATTTGGATGTACTCGTTTAGCAAGATACTCAACCGCTTCCTCATATGATGTAGTGATATGAGGGTGGGTGTTTCCCACTATAGAAAAAAACGTGTCTCATTTTCTGATATTGTATATAATATCAGAAGATGGAAAAGTTTTTGACTGTGGTAAAGGTACCTTTAATATTACCACGTAATCCCTATGGAGTAATTGCTAGACGAATATGAGCAGAGATTATTTTAATAAAATGGAAGATATCTTGAAAATATTGAATTTTCTTGAGTTATATTAAAGACCAAGGTTACAAATCACAAAATAATTCAAGTAGACTCTGTTTGATGATGCATAAAATATATGGCAACAACAGGTGTGAAATAAATAACCAATCGATTTTTATGTTTTACAATGTCAGGTGTCACTAGCATTAATTTGATAATAATAATAATAATTATTATTATTACTGATAAAATAAGTTTTCATTTATTCAAAAGTCAAATTGATCAGTATAAAAGATAAAGATTTTTCCAAAGAAGATTTACTTAAATATGATCTAAATGATGGAAAACAATAAAAAAGACAGATAATTTATTAAGATTTAAAAAAGAAAATATGTCAATAATTATTAGAGTTTCCAAATAAAACTGCAAAAAAATACAACTACAACTTCCACTTTCTACAACATTCTGATCAGCATATATAACAGTCTTTGACATTCCTAAAACACTTCGCAAAATATCAAGTATAGAATATTGCCTTTTGGATTGATTTTAAGTTATAGAAAATCCTCAAAAAAAGAGTACTTATAATTCAACCAGTTATTAGAATTAAGTTAATTCGTCAGAGGAAACGCATTTTATGAAAACTAAATTTCAATTTTTTTTCTAAACACGAATAAGACATTTAAACTTTGAATTTGAGATTTAGAATAACAGAACTACCTAGACATCAAGAAGTTTAAGATATAGTTTTGTAAGTAACATGGAAAACAATATCTGTAAGCTTCATTATTCAAAATTTCTATTTTACAATAACTAAGAGAACGATGAATTGACAGGATAATTAAGTTAAAACTTCTACAAAGATTTACCTCACTCACTAAAATCCATCGATTGCATTCGTCATCAACGGATTCGTCTCTTCAGAATAGTCTAAACCATTAGTGAGATAAGTTAGTCTTCGAAAAAAAAAGAATTCATCGAATTTGTTCAGAAGTATTTTTTTCAAAATCGATGACATTCTACGTAACTGTCAATCCATAATTTACCGATAGTAATCAATTTTCAATATTTTCTCGTTTGTTTAATCATCATTTATTATTAATTGGAGTAACTATGAAAACAACGATTGACAATCGATGCGTTATCTCAAATTTCGATAAACAATATCAATCAATATTCTTATCATAGATGTCGCCAAAATTTTTTTCTAATCATACAAGAAAAAACAAAATAAACAACAACAAATATTCTCGACTAATAACCCAGTAAAATTTTTTTCTTATACTAAAAATGATTAAATCACAATAGAAGGACAATTGATTATGTTTATTAATTTAGATTTAATAAATTATATCTCTATTAAAGACATACAAAAATGAATGACAACGGAGCTCTAACGAAACGTATTGTTAAGGTATATTTATAAGATTTTGATGAATTTTGATGATGAATTTTATTTGTTAGGAAAGTGCACGATTACAACAAGAACCAGTACCGGGCATCATTGCAACACCAGATGAACATAATGCTCGTTATTTTAAAGTTATCATTGATGGTCCAAGTGAAGTAATAATATTATTATGAAATAATTTGAATTTTTCAGAATTTTATTTTATTTTAGAGTCCATACGAAGGTGGTAAATTCAAAGTAGAATTATTTTTACCAGATGAATATCCAATGGCACCACCTAAAGTTCGTTTTATGACAAAACTTTATCATCCAAATATTGACAAATTAGGACGAATTTGTCTAGATATACTTAAAGGTAAATGAAATATTGAATAAGTTTTCTTTTTAATTTTTCTCTTGTTTATAGAAAAATGGAGTCCAGCTTTACAAATTCGTACTGTTCTTCTATCTATTCAGGCTCTATTAAGTGCACCGAATCCGGATGATTTTTTAGATGCTGATGTAGCTGAAAAATGGAAAGCTGATGAAAAAGGAGCAAAAGCAATAGGTAAGATGAAGAAAATGTATTTCTTCTTGATTATGAATATATTAAATTAAATTGTCTTTTGAAAATATGAGAAATAACTATGATTGCGAGTCAAGAAATCTATATTAAATATTAAAACTTTGTGCCATATGGCTTGAGGTTCCCATATACACTAGCTAACCACAAGAGTAGTTGTATATCACAACCTAGTCAGCATACTATCAGACGGGTGATCTGAAACTAATATTCGTTAGTGACTTGTCTAGAGTTATCCCATAGCTGATGGCACCGAAGTTTGTATACAGTAACTTGTTAATACGTGGCGAACGATATAGCCACTCAATCATGGCAACGATAGATTATGGAGAGGAAGTGTAAAACATTTTTGGACTTTTGTAAATAGAAAATAAATCAGTTGAATATGAATATGCTGTTGAAATAATTGAAGATTATGCTACATAGACAGATGGTTCTTTTCTCGATCAGTAATAAGAATTTCGTCATATTTTGGATGGGTGTTTTTATTATTTTCTGCTCATTAATATACAATATATTTACCAAGCAAAAACTTGTCGATAGGTTATTTGTATATTCAATATATTTGAATAAACCGTCTCTTTCTAGAAGGTTGTCTCTTATATTGGACATACTTTATGAGTGACCTCCTTTGTGAATGTTCAAAGACCGAAAACTAACAATTAGACAATGAAAGATATTTGTTCAAATCAATAAAAATTTTTTCTTCGTTTCGAAATTCACTCTTTCCATACCAATAAATAATCAAGTAACAGCATTTTCTGACGTGAATTGATCTCTGATACTTATATAGAACATTGTACATGCAACATGATAATTAATAATTCAAACATTCATATATATATGTATAAATATAATTTTCTTTTTTCTTTATTTTTTAGCTCGTGATTGGACTCAAAAATATGCACATGAATCTTAGGAAACTAATACATATTGAACTTATTCGGATTATATTGCCTCACAAATATTTTCAAAATATTAAGATGGTGAACCTTTTTTTTTCATATTTTTCTTTATATGTGTGTCTATACTGTCTTTTTCTTTCATCTTGTCATCTTCTCCTTCTTTTCTTCATCAAAAAAAAAAAAAAAATACAAAATGCATATTTTAACAAATAGCATTATATTTGTAGGTAATGATTGCACGTGATGTTTCTCATTCTTTTAAAAAAAAACACTTTCTTCATGTCTATTTGTTTCTCTTTTTCGATTATGATCATGAATGACTTTACATGAGAACATGAATAAAAAAAAATAAAGAACAGATAAATAGATATGATAATATCATCTTTCATTCCATACTGGGAAAAGGTCTACAAAATTTATTAGAAAACCTCAAAAACAATCATGATTAATGAAAACATCAAATACTAAAACACTTTAATGTACAATTTTTTTAAAATTCAATCGTTGATTCTTATAAGAATTGATTAATATCAGCGAAAAAAAAAGTTGCTTGAAGATGAATTTCTATGCAAATATATCTATGAAACATGCAACCAGTCACTTTTTTGTTATGTATTTCACGGTTCATTGCTTCTTCAATAAGGCGTATAAAATGAAATTTGTTATCGACACTATCGTATGAAATTTTTTCTACTGAACGAATATACGTTTTTTATATAATCCAATTCATATTTATTCTTTTGTTTTAATTAAAATTGAATTTCTATTTCTAAAAATTTATTAATCATGCCGAACCTAATTGGTCAAATAATATTTTTAAAAGTACGTCGTATAATCCAACTTTGTATTTGTTTATTATTTCTTATTATTATATTAACATATTACGTACGATGGTCATCAAGATCAAATAATCAAATACAATTCTATGAAAATGCATTTGATAATCCATTTTTACCACAAAATGCATTTTATAAGAAAAAATCTAATGATATAGTAGCAGAACAAACAAGTTATGGTCGATCAGATTTAGCTAAATATATACATCTAGATTTAAAAGGTGCACCGCCAAAAGCAAATAAATTTTATGAATCATTTTTTTATTTTCTTGAAAAATTACAAATGGGAATAAAAGGTGTTCTAATTGAATATGAAGATATGCTTCCATTACAAGGTAATCTTGTAAATGTAAGTATAAACAAAAAAATGTAACTATTATAGAATCCTGCATGAGTGAGAGACTCGATGGATCAAGAGACCGATTGGAAGATTTTTACTAAAGTTGACTGGATTTGAAGAAGGGAGGAGAAAGTTGAACACTTTTTTGAGAATAGGTAAGCAGAAAATGAACGATAAGCTGCTGGAACTCCATTGAACAAAAAACGAAAATCTTTAAAGAGTGGGGACATTCTCCAAGGATTATAGTTACTTTAGTAATGCTGTAGATACTAAAATCATAAGTTTCTTTTAGTATGATAAAAGGCAAACTATTGAGCAGATCACATACTGTAATGAGATAAGTATTACATCAGGTGTAGGCATCTTCTCTTCAGTCACACACTCGAACTCTCCAGATCCAAAAATACTATGACCGATAAACTCTGGTGATCAACTCATGTATTGACTGAATCATAAGAAGTAGTTATTGTAGTTAATACTCTTAGTAACAGATTGGTTAGGCTTGTCAACTTGATTCGTTGCAAAACTCTAAACTATTGAGAATGAAG